TGTCAGTGGTATCTCTAAATGAATTTCATACAATATCTTTTGTCTCACTTAAACACGTGCAATGTCCTTATCTAACTTATTGAAGTGCCATCTGTTGCAAAGTCCAGCACTTACTGCTAGACGCAATTTTTGCTGTCTTTGCCTTAGCTAAGCGTGCAAATTACCATAAATTGCAGTTGGAACGATAAACCTTTTTCTACGCTTTCAATCGTAACTCCAAAGGTCTTGTATTTTTTTCTGTAATCCGAAAGGGGCGAGCTACCTATTTTGTACATATGAGCTACAGAACTTTTATACCAACGAAATGTTTACGTCAGATGATAGGTTACGATCGCTGTACGACCCAAAAAAAGGTAATTTTTTAATTTTTTTGTCGTTTTTACTACAAAAAAATAGCTCGCCCCATTACATTTTATGTTTATTTCAATCCTGTAAAAGAGATTTTAATTCCGTTCAGTATTTTTGAAGTTATCGTTCTAACTGCAAATGTCGGTATTCCAGCATCGCCTTAAAATCTTAGATTATTGGTTTAAATCTCAACAACGATAAATTTCTTTTCCGATTTCTTTTGCATTCTTTTTATTTTTCCCATATAAAAAAATATGTGTTTTGTATTTTCAATCAGAAAAACATAATAAATTCATTTTAAAGAAATTTCTAGAAATAACTTATATACAAGGAATATTTGAAAAGTTTTGCGAATGAATACATAGCTAATGCTGGGAAGAAAAATTGTTTGCGTAATTTTATTGCATCATCTTTTGCCAGAAGGAAATTTTATATTAATCTAAATATTCTAAATAAATAATATTATCTCAATCTTATTGCCGTCAATACAAAATAACTTGTTAGAATAAAATAAAACTTTTCCGGTGATATATAAAAGATAATGCAGTAAAATCTTGTAAATAATTTTGTCCTCGCTTTTTTATGTATTGTTTATTCGCAAAAGTTTTCAAACATCTCTTGTATTAACAGTATATGTATTCCGATCGTATGTATTCTAACACAATTAAATTGAAAGAAGATCAATGAACGGCCACAGCAGAATTTTGGTATTTCTAATATTTCTGTGTGAATTTTACATACGTATTCTAGTTCTACAAACTGCGCGCCGTTACTTTTGGTCTCAAAGTAGTTCTCGTTTGAAACAAAATTGTATTATTATGTTATTAAATTGATAATGAATTTAATAATTATTGATGCTCACCGGCATCTAATAAATTTCCTGCTCCCCCGCGACACGACGTAAATGCTAAAAAATTTTGTTACAAAAAATATTACTTCAGCCAGAATTCGAACCTGGACTTCCCTACATTCTGTGTGGGCGTCTTAGTCTGTTTGACCACCGAGGCATATAATAATATTCATCATAACAATCGCAGATATATTTAAAGTAAGATGTTGTAAGGTCAACATGTATAAATTATTGTATATATACATATACAGGGTGTTCCAGAATTCGCGGACCCGGAATATACTGTGTGATTATCCGTATCAAAATAAGTATGTCTTTTTCCTCTGGCAAAATTGTGTCTGAACAATAATTTTTAAATGAGAGCAATTTTAAGCTAACGAATGAGCGCTTTAGGTTACGCGTGAATCAGGGGCGGCGCGCGCTTGGTGCGGCGCGATGCGGCGTGTATGCTATTTTATTATTTCGCTAAATAATCTTGAAGCAAAATTATTGAGGTGTTATCTAATCTACTTATTTTACTTTCAGTCATTGCTTTCAGTGATAACAATTAGAAAATTCTCTTATTAAGTAAGTTATATTTAAAATAGCGCTACATCAAAGTCATTCAACATCATTCAAAGTTCTTATTAAATCTTTAGCGAAATAATAAGATAGAATACACGTCGCGTCACGCCGCACCAAGCGCACGCTGCCCCTGATTTATACTTAACCTAGAGCGCTCATTCGTGAGCTTAAAATTGCTCTCATTTAAAAATTATTGTTCAGACACAATTTTGCCAGAGGAAAAAGTTACTTATTTTGATACGAATAATTACACAATATATTCCGAGTCCGCGAATTCTGGAACACCCTGTACATATATTCCGACCGTATGTGTTTTAACACAATTAACCCTAGACTATCACATCTGGGTAAAATTTACCCGGACCATTTTTGAAGTGTGTGCCATTCCGACAGGGTTGAAGAAGTGTGGTCGTGATGTG